ATTCCCTCAGACAAAACCTATAGCAGATTGTATCTTATAGGAATTATATGCTGGTGAAATGCCAGGTTTGTAAATTAAACAAACAGTACTAACTCTGTAAACTTGAATTTCACTAATGTAAGTGGTTTCTTAGTAACTCAAATTTAATATTCAAAAGAAAGTTCTAAATATTCGTTTTTATTGATTTGTTTTGATTTTAAAAAATAAAACTCGATTTTCACATTACACCTAGTAATGTGCAAATTCCAATTTTTTCTCATTTCATGCGCATATTGAAAATTCCCAGCTCATATTATCTGCCAGCATTATATTGCTGCTTCTATAATTTCATGCGCATTGCCCATCACTAACAGTTACCCTGTCCGGTTGATTCTCGACGTAGTGAGGACTACTGTGGTTGTTTTCCAACTCTCCCAACGTACTGTGAACAGTTGAGGTTATTGTATTCCGGTTTGAGGTCCAAGAGGAAGGTCCCAGCCGTGGTTTTGGTTATAGTAATAGTAGATGCAAGAGTTAGTGTGTTAGTAAGCCGTATCGGAAGGTTCAAGACAAGTAGAAAGAAGTCATACCTACGATTTTAACCCCAAACACCAAATAGAACTGCCTCTTATCGACTAACCCTGTTCGTAGGTTACACGACGTACCCGATTGTGGAGCGACTGACTCGCCGTTTAGGGTTGTCAGTATGTATGTACATACTAAATTTAGGTTACGTTAAAAGTACAGTACTACGTATTTGGATTATGATTGTTACTAAATTCTGTAATCATGACAGCCAAGTTTTTCGAGAAACCTTCTAATAATTTAAACGAACTTCTTAAATACGAAGAAGAATATGATGTTATTATTGAAGTTGGTCAAGAGCCAAATATTCAAGAATTTAAAGTACATTCCGTCATCCTAAGTTCTCGATGTTTATATTTTAAAGATAAATTAGGCGCGGTCACTTATAATAACAATAATGTGAAAATAATAAAACAAATTAATGTTTCCGTTGAAGTATTTGACATTATCATCACGTAAGTACTAATATGTATATATAAGATATAATATCAAGTTCAAAGTATTGATCGCTATATATATATGTAGGTATATTTATTATGGCATCGTTTCTTTAGAAACAACTAATGCCTCAGTTATCTTTGAACTATTGAGAGCTTCTAGCGAATTTGGTCTTGAAGAATTAATTAAGCATATTCAATTATTTTTACTTGAAAATAATGTTTCCTGGTTACATCTTAACTTTTCTCGAGTCTATCAAGTTAGCCTTAAGGATGATAATTTAAAAGAAATACAACAATTTTGTGCAAACATTATTGCTAAACATCCAAATATTGTTTTTGATTCAGATGAATTTCTTACTCTTTCAGAAAATATTTTAATATTTATCTTAAAGCTTGATAATCTACAAATGGATGAAGGAAAAATTTGGGAATATATGATTAACTGGGGGATTGCTCAAAATCCATCTCTGTCTCCCAATCCAGATCAGTGGTCTGATGACAACTTTTTAACTTTAAAAAAATCACTTCAAAATTGTCTTCCTTTAATTCGCTATTTTCAAATGTCTGGTGAAGATATCTTTGATAAAATTAAGCCTTATCAGAAAATCCTTGGACCAACATTATGGACTGATATCATGTTAAAATTTATGGCACCAAATAAATCTATTAATATTACTTCACATGTTTTACCTCCTCGCAATAATACATCAACAACGTTACCTTCACGAGATTTCACTTCTAACGCCGCTAATAATACAGGGACTAAGCCAATCAAAACTTTACTATTTGAGCTTTCTTGGGAGTATCCTGCAAACGGAACACAGTATTATATTGATGGCAGTTGTTTATTGTATGCATGTAACACCTTTTGGATTAAATACGATTATGCATCTGTATATTATCCCTCATTTCCGTATATGAGACATTCTGGTGACGTGATGGATAATGTGGATAATGTGGATAATGCAAAGAAAATAGGTTAGTATGGCATTATATTTAGTCGGATGCTATTTTCTGATTTACCTATCTTTGTATTTGATGTTTTCTTATAAACACTAGGAAAACATCGTATTACGTGTGAACTCGATCAATTTCCTCCTGAGGTTACCGAACTTTACTTTGTTATTAGTTCACGGAAGTCTCTGACGCTTGATCAATTTCGACCGAGTTTCAAGCTATTTGACGAAGCACAGCCTGATAAAGATATTTGTAATTACACTGTTGGTACAGCGGCAATTTCACAAGCTGTTATTATGAGTTGTGTATCAAAAAATGCAAACGCAGAATGGAGCGTTTATGATATTGGAAAGCTTTCTGCTGGAAATGTAAATGATTATGATCCTATTAAGATTAGTATTGGTGAATTAAGATTAAGTATTGGTAAATGAATGCCAATTAACTCCTAAGGTACTTTTATATATTAATAATAATGTATAAGGGAAGTCCATTTTATATTTATTGTCGCTGATAATCCGATCACATACTTAACTTGCCAACTAATATAGCTGTAAAATAGTTTTGGGGTCATTTCCTGTGTTGATAAGCATATATTTTGCTGTATCAGTAGCACTTCACTTTTTAAATTCGTGACTTTATCTACAAATACACTTGCAATCTGATTCGTCGACATTCAAATATTGAATTTATCTATTTCATTTCGAGTCCACCCGAAATTTTCGGGGCAAAAATTTTTTTACCCGAACCGTATAAATTATCAATTTTAGTCGATGAAAAATTTGCAATTTTAACCTTGCGTCTCAATTTTCAATATGATGCAGCTCTGTTTAAAATCCCATGTTAATTTCACGCACAATATATATGTGTATGCATTTATCGATTTATAAGAGTTTCCTTATAAGTGTTCGTTCGCTTGACAGTTGTAAATTTACGAATTTAAAATCTCTCAATTTGATTGGACATTTTTCACGTATAGCAACGACAATATATCTTATAGAAGTTCGTCTGATTGATTAATTTTTATAAATCTTCTTACTAGGAAATGAAAAATAGATTGTAAAGAAGCCCACGAATTAAGTACACATGAAAGAATTTATCAAGTGTGTTTTAAAAATAGCTATATAGTATAAAGTGAGGCAAATGCAGCATTTACTACGATTATCTACCCAAACACACTAGAAGAATAAACCAAATTTAATATTCAAACCGGATCTTTACTGCTAAAGAACTTGTACCTTTAAATTAAATGACAATAAAAAATTTATTTAAATTAATAAATAATAAAATTCGTAGACGAAAAATTTTTAGTTGCCATTCACTCTATAATATATTTGGTTGCTACAAAAGTCCGCCAGAGTGAATTCTATGAGATTCATTTGCTGTACATAATAAATATTGACAGTCTTCTAAAGCTATTGGTGAAATGGTTGAAAAACTAACTTTCAAGTTTCTCATCTATATCCATTTTAATAAAACATCACTATTAAGCTAACAATACATAAATTATAGATTATTCTTTAAGGTTGTGTCTGAAACTTTAACGAAGTGATCTATATAAAGTTTGACGTTCTTTTGGTATGTAACACTCGATCTAAAACTTATAAATAAATTACCCGAGCAATTGATTCAATCAGACGAATATTTTCCTATGAAATCAAATATAATTAAATTTTAACCTTGACTAGAGATGGGACACTGCGCAGTGCATTTTTCATAATTCTGGCCAGCTTTATAATTCAGGTTTGAATTACCAATCGGAAAGAAAAACGAATCTGCATCACCTGATTAATAGAATCCATCGTTGATAATTCTGGTCAAGCTTGCAGATCATTTGACCACATTTAAAGTTGTTTTGTTCTAGATCTGGCCAAATGATCTGCAAATTTGACCAGAATTATTAATTCACCGACATGCAGAGAAAAAGACGCAAATCAACAAAAACTGATGTTTAAACTAACCTTGGAGCACTAATTAAAAATGATGGGAGCCCAACTTTACACATATGAAGTAGATGCTTTATATATATAAACGCGAAGTCTAATGAGTAAAGTCTCTAGGGACTGAGGCCGTGCAGTAGATTCAAAAAAACCTCGATTTTCCCATCTCTAACTTTATGATTAACTGAATTAAAACTCGATCGTCGGAAAAGTTATTTATCAATTACACTCTTGAATTCATGAAATTTACGTTAGGGTTAGCGTTTAAATTAGTGTTAGAGGTTTATTAAGGTTAAAGGTCAGTGAGCTATATAATAAAATCACAAAAGAAAACTTTTTTGCTAATGCATGAAAGGTTGCTTCTCTGCAAATTTTTGGTATTTTCAAAATTAACGTTTGTTTTGAATTTTCTAATCACGACTTACTATTGGCCGATCATCACGTGAACTTCAGCATCAAAATCAGCATCAGCCGTGATGCTTCAGCCTAAAAACATTACCATTTTTTTTTAATATTTATAAAGATTTTTATTTGAAGGAAAGTTTATTTTATTGAACATAAGAATTCCTTCTCATAAGATAAGAATATATACAGATATATAAAGTTTTAGTTGAATACATTTTGAAATAACAGAGATTTACACTAAAACCAGGCAATATATGAATATTTAAATAATATGGATGGAGAGTCAATAAAAAAACCGATATAAATGAAAAGTCAATAAAACGATATGGATGAAGTCGGCATTTTAAAACAAGGAATTTTTATTCTTTCATTATGAGCGACCCAATAATTTCTTCAGTATTAGGGTCATTAGAATCATCACGATAATAGACCATCCAATCACGGGAGAAACGATCACTTCACCATCAGACATTTCTTGATTAGTCCTGATAAATCCAGAAATAAACTTCAAAGAATAACAACAATCAGTAACAAAAGGGACCCAACAGTGCAGTGTGGAAAATCATCTGGTCCTAATCCAGTTTTACGTATAGCTGTTCCTTCACGATTATATGGAAAAGAAACCTAAAACCAATCCTGTAACAGTGGAAAGTGAACCATAGCTTACATTTATATTTATAATCTTACACCAAAAATCTTAGTCAATTTCACCACGGTAAGTGACTACTAAATTCCAAATCACAGAGTCTAGACGATCCAGCCAAAAATCTAATTCTAAATTTAATTTTCTTAACTGTATAACTTTCTTTTGAATCTTTATCCAATCTTCGAGAGTGCCTTCAAGAGTAACTTTTGGAATTCCACATACCAACATCGCAATATGTTTAAAGTAGATTTTAACTGTATCCAATAATACAATTCGACTTGCTATCAAGGAATTTGTTTTTTTATTTTTTATTTTATAATATCTAGTAGGAAAAATAGTAACACATGGATATATCAATTGGATATAATGTATAAATAAAATATTCCTAAACTACACTATTGTTGCTATATATATAACGACATCTAGCGTGATAATAACCTTTAATTTTCTGTTTTAGTTAAATCAACTATCGTAATCATTAACTACAGGGGAGGGTAAAAGGAACCCTTAGGAATTTGTTGTTGTAATTGAAAAATCACATACAATTAATTCCGCTAGGCCTATCTTTTCTACGCATTCATCAACTTTTGCTACGAATCTATTTGAAATTTCTGGTCAATTACCTTCAAGAGTATAATGAGAAGTTTCGTATAAAATATCTGCGCTCGGTACTACAATATCTTTTTTTCCTTCATGATTAACAAATCTTGAACGAAATTTTTCGGCATTGTAATTAATGTGATGACTAACATCTTGAGCAATTGCAAGCCAAACATCAGGACTCAAGCGCAAAAGCTGATGATTGTTATAAGCATGAAAGATGGCAGCCACAAAACTATCATAAAAGGTAGAATCTTTAAGAACAGTTGTTTTAGAGTTATCAAATCAACAGAAACAGAAATTTTAAATCGTTGAGCAAGTATTTCTTTAGCTGAAATATGAGGTTTTAACTCATTATTAATGACAAGTATTTGTTGCTTGCATTTTTCTAATCTAAACTTTTAAAACTACTAATCGTAAAGTGATTTGTTGTGAATATTGTTACGAAAAATGTTTAACAAGTTGTTACTAAACCGATACGTCATAATTTTTGATTAATTGCAATTATTACTACATTTTGCAAAGCTATGACTACATTTTGCGTAATAATTTTTTTAACTTTTTTGTGATCAATACTAAGGGTAGGTCTTTTTAGTTCTTTACTACCGTCGTATATTGATCAACGCTATAAAGTCGTTTGTACAACAACCTCTTTGTTTGTACTAATTATTTTGATGCTTTCGAACTGAGTTAACTTGGTTGCGCTATATATTTAATCACTCCCAAATTCGCAGCATGTATGTACTAGAGATGCAGGCGAATTGTCTCAATGATGTTATGGCTTAAGCCGTAACTAGCTAAAGCTTATAAAGTTTATGTCGTAACTAGTGCTGGCAGGCAAAATCTAAGAGTTTTACTACAGACGAAAGGATAAACTAGTTTCAACTTTCGCCAAAAAAAAATTAAAAATGGCGAAATGGCGAAACTTGAAAAAGATAGTAAAATTAGTAAAAAAATATTAAAACTAGTAAGGATAGAAAGGTATTAAAGAAAATTAAAGTTTATATATATGCTTAATAGCATATATTATTTATATTGTTCGTTCGGAAATCGGCGAGTCTGTCGCAAATCTAATCCAACTCTCACATAACCTACGGTGGCTAAGCCAAAATAGGGTGTTAGATTTGGCTGGTGGGTTCTTATCCGTAGGTAAGTACTGGCCTCCTCGAGTCTTAAACCTGCTCTTTTACTAATTCTTGTCTCTTCTTATACCTCAACCCGGGATTACACTACGTAGAATCGGGGTCGAAACTCTTCTCTTCGTGATGTGACTTATGTCGCTGATCACATGATGAAGGCGAGTGATTAATTGCGGGTTTAGTTGTTCTTGGGCGAACGGGTAGTGTTAGTAATGAGTAGTGTTGTTAGGCGAAACTATTTTGGTAAATAGCGAAAGTCGAAACTAAACCCGGCGAAAGTCGAAACTCCGGCAAACGTCGAAACTCTGGCGAAACTCCCAGTAAAGCTAAAACCCTTGGAGAAAGTTAAACACAGCGTAGATTAAATCCTCTAAGATTTTGGAAAGACTGAACCATGTTGGTGAATCAAAATATTTTGCGTGTGGCCATTAAGCACAGCTGGCTTATATAAGAATGTACAAAAGCAATAAACAAAGTGATGGTCTTTTATTTGTATTTGAATACTATTAAAAGAAAACTAGACTTCGGGCTTTTGAACTTATAATAAATCAATTCAGCGCCTGAAAATTCAAAGTTTGAAATCCTGTTTTCTTTTAGAGCGTTTATTTTGTATTAATATTTAAATCGGTCGAAACGGTGAGTCAGTCGCTCCACAATCCAAAATCGCGTGTAACCTACGGTTGGCTTAGTCGGAAGTGACCTGGTGAAGTTAATACTAAGATCAGATCAAAGGATTTAAATAGAATATCTAAGCAAGGTTGTTAAGTATAACAATTGGTAGGAAACTTCTGAGCAGACTCTTTAAATAGGTAATATAGAAAAGTTATACATGTAGTTAGTTGTACATTCTAGAGTTGGCACTCGAAACGAAACCTACCTGAAACTAGTTTCGGGAGACTCTAATCCGAAACTCTGAAACCCGAAATTCTGAAACTATAATCTGAAACTCTGAAACTATAACCTAAATTCTTTAAAAAATTATAACTTAAAAAATACAAACAAAAAAATTTAGACTAACAAAGTAATAATAAATTAATCATTCTATTTATTTTGAATAGCTCAATAAATAAAATATATATATATTTTTTTTTTAAATATAATATTAATAAATAGAATATTTTTTTTTTTTAAAATAGAATATTTTAGTACACTGGTGATCATAAATAATGCAACAAAAAAAAAATTTAGTTAGATCATATTATCTCATGCAATTCTGAGCATATTTGCTAAATTTATTTTTTATTTTATTTGCAAATAGTAATATTATCATTAATAAAAAGAATTTAAATATTTAATAATCAAAATTTTTTGGGGGCATAAGTTTTATTTCAATATACATGTTGCATTATTTTTGCTTGTTTTAACAGCAACATAATTGTAAAATAAAAATTATTTTTTTATATAAAAAAAAAAATTTTTTTTTTTCTAATAATTTTCAGCTATCACTATCTGGTGTAGTCATCCTGAGCTCTAATTACATCACAGATTCATTCTGGCATTGAACGAATTAATCTTATGCAGATTTCAATATTGATTGTCTGCCAAACCATCTGAATTTTTTTTTAAAGGTCTTTTTACTTGAAATTTGACCAGGAAGATCTTTAAGGTAATGATCAACTTCATCTTACAAATTTTCGATTAGGTTTAGATTGGCCAATTGGAAAGGTCAGTCAAAAAACTTATCTTCTTTCTTATAAGCCAATATTTGGTCAAGGTTATCATATAACAAGATGCTCCATCTTGTTGAAAAACAACTTCACTGACTTCAAATCCATAATCTTCAATTGTTTATATCAAATCTTCACAGAATATTTTTAGGTACAGATCTGTATCTATTGTACTATCAATCTTATAATAGTTACCAATATCGCAAGAGATAAAGCAATCCCAAATCATAATTGATTTATCATTATACTTCATAGTAGGCTTAACATGAAACTGATTTAATGGTTCTCCATGATGTTTTCAATAGTACTGCTTATTATCTGATCCAAAAATTTAGAACCTTGATTCATCTAACCAAATTATCTTGAACCAATTTTTAACAATTCATTTTTTATATTTTTTTGCAAAAGTGAGTCATATTTTTCGATAACTATCATTTAGATAGGATTTTTTTTTATTTCTAATACTAAATCATGGTTTCGAAGTATCCAGTAAATAATAGACATTGAAATTTCAATATCTTTATTTATTTTGAAATGGGTTCTTATTTTAACAACAGTAAAGCAATAACAGAAGATAATTAATTTACTATCCTTCTTTAGGTTGGTTTATTCAACAAAGTTGGATAACCAACCCTTTCTAAATCTTTAAATGTGTGGTTTGTTAACTATTTTTTTCTAATTTGTGAGACTATGGAAAAGTTAACATGATGGGCCTGACCTATTACTCTTGTAATATATCCTTTTTGAAAAGAAAGCAATATTTGAGCTCATTTGGCAGAGGTTGTATTGTTCTTTTTTTTTGATTTGTAAGCAATTTTAATATTATACAAAATGCAAAATCAACAATGAAACTTACATTTTTATTGTATTTATATAGCACAAATCACATGATCTGATCTTTGTCAAAAACAATTAAAAATAATGCAACATATGAATTGTAATAAATTTACAATTATCTTTGTATTGGTAATAATAACAACTATTAAAATTTTTTTATTTAAAAAAGATAGTATTTGTGAATAAAATAAAATAAAAATTTAGCAAATATGTCTAAAATTGCATGAGATAATATAATCTGACTAAATTTTTTTTTGTTGCATTATTTATAATCACTAGTATATATTTAAAAAGTATTATAATTATGATTTTTATAATCTTTCAATTTGTGTAATAGTACAAAGTTTTTATTAATACTACTGAACTATTTGTTACTATTGTTTTCTTTAATAATTTTTTGTTGCTGCATTCTGGATTCAAATAAATAATCAGAGTTATAATCTTTTAAAAGTATATTAAAAATTAAATCTACAAAATTTTCTGATTTATTCATATTTTCTTAATTAGTTTTTATAATTCATTTTAAATTTCATTATTTTTGTGTTTATTGTTAATAGGAATTTGGTTACAGCAATTAATATATATTTTTAGAATAGTGAGTTTATTGGATTTTATGCTTTTAATGACCATTTTTCACTTTAAATAATATTATTATGATTTAATCGTGAACTAAGAATATCATATGATTTTCGAAACTTTTTTGTGTAATGATTTTAACCTGGTCTATATTAATCATATTGAAATAAATAATTTATCAAATCTATTTAGTTAATTTTTCATAAGGTGTTCTAGAAATAATAATAACAGCTATAAATCTGGATCTAATAATTAAATTTGATATAAATTATTAAATCTGGATCAAAGTTATTATAACATTTACAATTTAGAGATTAGTTAATCACTTTATATATTTATTATAAAGATATAATTTATAACTATTTTGTATTATTACTAATAATTCTTCATCTCACTACACTTCTATCTCTTATAATAATCATCTTCTTTTACTTCACTCTAAACAACTTTTTAAATTTCTAGGTTGCTGGTTTACTTTGGACAATAGGCAATCTAAACAAACAAAACTACTTATTGCTGAATCCTCTCAACTTATTCAAATTGTTAAAACCAAATGCATCACTGACTCACATATCCACTATATTATTAATACAGTTATTATTCCTACTTTTGAATATCATCTTCAAAACATTGTAGTTAGCCAGCCTACCTGCAATAAAATCTTTACTCAACATATTGGTTTTATTAAACTCAAAGCCAAACTTTGCTGTACAATACCTTCTAGCACCTTTTTACATCCCCAAATCTACAACATTAAATACATCTATGATATTCAACTACAACACTATATCTCTAACTTTTTTAAACGACTTAATAACCTTGACCTATTAGGTACATCAATTCATATCTGAATTCAACAATTACAAAACAACTTTTGGTTCCCTACTAATATTTTTTTACATTCCAATCTAATTATTGATGGTCCCAATCATCTAACTACAAACTTTAAAATCATTCAGCTTATAAAACATATTGGCTGGACATTTTCTACTAACCCAACTTATAACATTCTATTTATTCTTAATGATGGAGCTATCTCTCTTGAATCCCTTCTCTCATCCTACCCAAAATATTCTATCTTCAAAAAACAACTTAGATATCACAAATTACTCTTTCTTGATTAACTTACAACATATGATAATTCATGCCTATTACACTGGCATCA